AGTTATAAACGGAACAGAACAACAAGGTCTGTAAATACTGCAGCTTTAAAGAGTAATTCGTTTTCGCACACGGATGCTTTGAATGCTGCTTCTGTCACATTTGTACCTCTCTCTATCGTAGCTTATGTTCTTTTTCTTTGCTCCGTTGATTTTCATAGCATTTTGAGAAAGGAAACCTCGGCTTTTGTTTTCACGCTCTGAAAACGAGGGAAACTTTGGGAATAATGACTTTGAGCTGAGAGCAGCGTCCTGGGACACACCGGGCCGACAATCTCTCACTTTTATCACAAATACAATGTTTATTTCCACTATAAAAGCTAAAATGCGGGGCCTTCGGTGAAATAAGGGACAGGATCTGTCGACGGTGCGGAGAATATGCATCTCTGCTCAGGGGACGGATTATTCAGGATCAATACTAGAATGAGTCCGGTGGAATGTGAGCTGGAGGGGTTTGAGCTGCTGCGGCCAAACACCATGAAACTGGATCTATATTGTTTTATGTTAAAGCTCGGGTACGCAATTCTCAACCATTCAAGTCCTCATTAAAGGGCCCTAATCTGTCCAAAGGCATTAATAAAACATGCTCTTTTCCAATACTTCTTTAGCTGATAACAGTAGTTCAGAGATATTTGGATTTCAAAATTAGTTTTACAGCCCCAAAATCTTGTTATTGTTTTCATTTCGATGTCCCGCCCTCCACCAGTTTTTAACATAACCACTCATTATGGTTATGTAAATAATCTGGCCAAAAGTGGTACTGCAGCCTCTCCCACTCTCCCTGACTCAGGTTGCCAGATATGCAGACGAATCCAGCTGGGACCATAACAGCTGAATAGACAAGAGTTTAGTCAACAACAAATCTATAACCAACACCTTTTTCACAAAGATAGAAATCCTGGTTTTATTCCTTGTTTTGTCGTTAATGATTTGAGAATCAAACGACGGGCGACAGTAGCTCAGTTGGTAGAGCATCGGCTTTTGGGCCTGTAGGTCGTAGGGTCGAATCTACCACGAGACCTACTTCATGACTCCCACTGATGGCTGCTGTTGTTGTGTCCTTGGGCAAGACACTTAACCCCACTTTTCCTGAAGCCCCCGATGGAAGATCAAGGCTCCTGTGGACTCAGCACCTGCAGGAGGATCAGTGAGGGGCTGGTGCTCTGTGGACTGGGTGCAGCTCTGACTGCCACCCCCGAACCCAGAAATGGACTAAAGGGAAGAAAATGGATGGATTTGAGAATTATAACGAGACCTTTTTTAGTTCTGCGCCACATGGTACTTTACCAGTGAGATTAGCTGCACGCGGTGAGTTCTGGCGCCCGGATCACAGACTTTCTGATTGGTGAAACGGTGGAGGGCGGGACATCGAAATGAAAACAAGAACAAGATTTAGGGGCTGGAAAAGTAATTCAGAATTTCAAATATCTCTGAACTACTGTTATCAGTTAAAGAAGTATTGGAAAAGAGTATGTTTTATGAATGCCTTTGGACAGATTAGGGCCCTTTAATGACATGAAAATCTTACATATTGCTACTTTAGCCCGAGATAACTAATGTTGTGATTTAGGGCAATACAGGAATACATTCTTGAATTCTTGCAGAGCTCTCTGACCTCTGACCTCCCTCTCACCTCTGAGCCTTTGTGTGAATGTATGCTTTAGTTTCTCATGTCTGTATGTATATTGTTTATTAAATGTCCTCTTTTATATTTCCTTGGTTTGATCTATATTTATTTAAAGCAATAACTCAATTTTCACCAACACTGGCTCTAAAACCGTTTGCTTCTTTCACTAGTTTTCACACGCATGTATTTTTTGCATCTTTTGATCAGTTTTTTAAGGGAGAACTATGAAAAAGCCCAAAGAGTCAAGTAGTGACTGACAGTTTTCTGATAAGATGAAACATGTTGTTATTCAAGAAACAAAGCCGCTTGAAGCATCTCAATTCAAGCACAGACCAAGAACTAGCACAAAATCTTCTTTTTTGAGCCTTTCCCGATGTTACAGCATTGTCTTTTAATCCAAATCGAACCTGAAGTGGTGTCTGGCTCCATCACACATCCCCCTGCCCCTTCTGTCTAAATGCTGCGGTCTCAAACACATTACACTGTAGCAAACCTTTACACTATGTTCAATTATTTTATCTCCAAGTTACATTTCTCTGATTAAATTGGCCATATCAGAATCAGATTTTAGTTTCTCCCGAATTCAGATGGAAGCTTGAGATGAACAGGCACGTCATGGCTCAATGGGAAAACTACTAATCTCATTCTAGAATATGAAATTAACATTTTCTAATACAAGGCAATCTATACATACATATACAGAGCATACAACCAGCCACATGTTGTTGTTGTTCTGCTCATAATTAGGAGATTATGGAGTTTCACTTATCGCTTGTGGTCATATGCGGAAATGTATTGTTAAATGAATGTGTTTTCCATTTTCAAATGAGAACATCACTGCAGCGCTCTGGGGAGATCTCAAATCATTCTTGCCAAGAAGAATGGGCAGCTTTACCGTCAGAAACTACCGCACAGGACTCCAAGCTGTCAGATGTTAAAGGGGAAGTACACACTGTTGAGAACTGGGGGATGGAGATTTCTGATCAGGGTCAGAAGAGGAGTTTTTCACCTTGTTAACATGTGAAAATCAAAAACTTAATTTGTGGTCATACAAAGCCAAATCCTGTCAGACCTCTGAAGATGTGCAGGACAGGGCCTGGTTAGTGGTGTGATGGGAGACCTCTGGGAACACCAGGTGCCAAAGTGGGGCGACTGCAGCTGTAAAGTGCCAAACTGTGGTTATGTCCTTAGGCAAGACACTTCATCCACATTAGAATGAGTCTGGTGTGCGTGTGAATGGTTGGTGGTGCTCGGAGGGGCTGATAGCACAGACTGGTTGTCTCGCTTCTGTCAGTGTGTCCCAGGGCAGCTTTGGCTACAGTAGTAATTTGTCACCATCATTTATGAAGTGAAAGTATAATGAAAAGTAAGTAAGTAATGTTTATGTATATGCGCATTTTACAGACCGAGGTCAGCCAAAGCGCTTTACAATGTTCAGAGTTCAGATATTGTTCCAGTCATTCCACACACGGTGAGACCATGAACACACTGGACCATCAGCCTCCAATCAACACCATCCATTCACTCTCTCATTTACATTCATACCTATAGTGCATGTTTTTAGTGGTAGGGGAAACCGGAGCACCCAGAGGAAACCTACGCAGACACGGGGAGAACATGCAAACTCCACTCAGAAAGGCCATGTTCTGACCAGGATTCGAACCTAGGACCTTCTTGCTGAGACGTGAGAGTGCTATCCACTCAGCCAGTCTTTGAGTGTCCAAAAAAGCGCTGTTTAAAACCAACGCATTAATATCTTTCTATAATCACTTTCACACATCCTCTGCAAATGAGTGAGAAAAACTGGTTTATGTTTTTTCTTTCTCAATGTCTGAACTATGACCAAAGAATCCACGCTCCTGCCTGGGTCTGCAAACTTCCGAGCACAACTGTATTTGCCATTTCCCCAGTTCTAAAGCTGTAGGCATTGAAAGCTCCACCTGTCAATCCAACGACGCCCGCCACGGCCCCTAAAGTGACAACCCCCATTGGAAACCCTCCTCACGGTGCAGGAGCAGGCTCTTTGTGTATGAGTACTTAGACCTTGCGTTTTAAAATGTTTTATTAAAATGAGGTGGAAAAAGTGGCACAAGGACAGAGGTATTGCTGAGTGCGGAGTTTCAACGTCTCCACAAAATGATGGTGTTTAAGGAGAGCGCCGCAAAGGCACAGAGGCAGGCGGCGCATCAGCACTTTCCTTTCAAAAGCACATTCACTTTATGAAAGAACATCGCCAAGATCCCGCACGTCTCGGTGGTTTGCGTAGTTGAAATCCCACATGACGAGTTAGACCAGAATTGCCTCCAAATCTCGCCTAGTTTTGCCTTTTCAGGTTTGTTCCCCTGGTTGGCCTCAAGTTGCAGATGTGACAGATAGTTTCCACAAAGTAAAGCAGGGGCCAGAGCTCGGCTCCTTCATGACAGTTATGGAACAAAGCTCATCATGCACTGCTTCGTAAAGCGCTAGGGAAGACACAGAGAGCCTCTCGTCTTCCTGAAATACTGCTGAACTGTCCGTCACAACCATAGACTGTAAATATTAAAAGACGTAGTCACGTCTATCACCGCTGTTCAAACTAATGTGACATCACTTCCGCGGTCAATGGGCAGTTTCAAATTGGCCGCGGGGGCAGGAAATTGTGAAAAACGGTGAGTAAACTAGAGTGGTCTAAAAAAATTCACTCCCCTCAGCATTGACACATGTGGAACGGAGCTTTAGGCCAAGAGCCAACTTTTGGACCATCCTGTAAAGACGTTATTGAGAGGAAAGAAGATGCTATACATTAGCATTGTCCATTCATCCATCCATTTTCTTCCCCTTAATCCATTTCTGGGTCGGGGGGGTGGCAGTCAGAGCTGCACCCAGTACACTCAGCACCAGCCCCTCACTGATCCTCCTGCAGGTGGTGAGTCCACAGGAGCTGAGATCTTACATTAGCATTGGCCAATTCTTATTCCGGGTCCACCCCCACAGGCCCAGGGTGGTATTACAAGCATGTCAGCACACATGATTTTGGACATTTTTGAGCCGGGACCCCGCCCACACTGGTCACAACCCAGTATATGGATTCATGATGAACATGAGGTATGGCATCAACACATGTGGAACTGGATGGCGCTGAAGTTGGCTGAATAGTGGTTGCTTATTCCCTCACATCTTCAAAGGAATGTGTGGATTGCAATGTAACAATGTGGCAGATTCTGAGGTTTAAAATGAGCTTCAACATGTCTCTGGGCAGCGGTCATTATTAGTTTGAGAGTTCGTTATCAAGAAATAATGACCGGTAGAACGTTTTGAAATGACATTCAAATCAACGGAGCTTTAAAACCAATGCGTTATTATTATTATACAGACACTGGGTTGGCCCCAATCGTATCTACTTATGTCCTTCAACCCCACTTACCCCCCATCTCTCCATCTTCTGCAGCCTCTCCATTCTCTGCAACCTCTTCCTCCCTCCTCTCCAGACTCTCCATCCATCCTCTGCAGCCTGTCCATATTCTTCCTCCTCTCCATCCTCTCCCTCCCCTCCAGCCTCTCCATATTCTCCCTCCTCTCCTTCCTCTCCTCTCCATCCTCTCCCTCCTCTCCCATCTCTCCTCTCCAGCCTGTCCCTCCTCTCCGTCCTCTCCAGCCCATAGACCACAGGACGTACGGCTCTTTTGTGCTCCTCGTTTGATGCGTCGTTCACAAACAGACCCCGCTGTGTCGCGCTCTCCTCCGCTCTCCATGTGCCGCTACACTTCTTTCTTTTCCCTTTTGAGTTGTTAGTTTTCTGGCACATAGCACTGCCACAGCTGTCCACCCACCTCCGCACACTCCAAACAAGTGCGTTCCATGGGCTTGGCATGTGTGCTCACAAAACAAGCAGAGGCCAACTGGGACGTACACAACTGCAGCAACAAAGAAAAAACAAGCGCCTGTGGTTCCATGGGATTGCTCGAGTTCAAAGAAGTCACATCAAATTAGTCTCAACATTGCTACCCTTGTTCTTTTATTTGAGTAGTCTTGTAATTGTTACATTCCAGACAAGTGGCCCATAATTGTACTTTCATAGTTGGGCCAAATTGTTCCAAATGTACTGTACAACAAGTGACATCTCCAGATATCACTTGGTTGACATTGTTGCAGTATGTTACATATTTTAGTTCCAGAATTGTCATCTTTGTCACTAGAGAATGTGTTTAGGGCCATTATAGTCATACAAAAAAATTCTCATTTGACTCCAAAAAATGTCATCACACATGGGCCACCTCACATATTTTCAAGTCTCTTTTCTCCCCCTCCCTTCCATGTGCTCTTGAGGGCGTGACTTGTCTGGTACATGACACCTCCAGTTCTTCTGCTGTAGTACAAGAATCCTGACTCTTCAGTTATTCCACATAATTCGGTTGTTACTGTATTCTTCCGGGTGGATCATCTAGAATATTAGTCTTTCTTTGTCAATTCTCAATCATTATGATGATATGCGAGACACATTTTAATAGGTGTTCCCTCTGAGAAGGCCGGTTCTTTCAAAACATTCGGAACATTTTTTTCATTTCATTTCATTTTCAAGCCCTTTATTGTCCATTTCTGGGTCAGGGGGGTGGCAATGAGAGCTGCCACACAATGCTCATAGCACCAGTCCCTCACTGATCCTCTGCAGGGAGTGAGTCCACAGGAAGATGGCTGCTCTGTCAGTGGTGAAACAGCCTTGGTCTTTCAGCGGGGGCTTCAGGCAACAAGGGGTCTTGCCCAAGGACACAACGACAGTAGACATCAGTGGGAGAAGTTGGAGTAGGTCCCATGGTGGGAATAAAACTCACGACCAGCCACTGCTCTACCAACTGAGCTACTGTCAATTCGGAACAATCCTCCTGAATAACTTTAAGTATTCGCTCACAGTCGTAATGTGTAATTTCGTCTCACACTTTCTTGTTTCAGGTTCATTTTCTCTGTTGATATCTACAAGTGCTGCCAGCCGACTTCTGTGAGCATTTTATTTGTTATGAATCAGTGCTAAGCTCACCTGCTGTGGTCTGTTTTCTTCGTCTTGTAAAACTGTGACACGTGGCATGGTTAAAGTTTTGATGTGGACTATGAAGTGGTGATTGAGAGCAGATCCTATTATTGCCAGAAGCCAATGCAGAATGGCTGCTTCCTGTGGCTCAGAGAACAGACTTTAAATCAACTCTGTTTGTTACAAGTCTCTCCTTGGCCTCGCACCAAAGTACATCTGTGACATGTTGGTGCCATATGAACCAACTCTGAGGAGCACAGGGACTGGACTCCTGCTGGGACTCTGAGGAGCACAGGGACTGGCCTCCTGCTGGGATTCTGAGGAGCACAGGGACTGGCCTCCTGCTGGGACTCTGAGGAGCACAGGGACTGGACTCCTGCTGGGACTCTGAGGAGCACAGGGACTTGCCTCCTGCTGTTGCCCAGAGTCAAGACTAAAAATGGAGGAGGCAGCATCTCAGATTGATGCAGCTAAAATCTGGAACAGTCTTCCTGAAAATGTGAGACAAGCTTCTTTACTGACAATATCCAAATCCAGGTTAAAACAGTTCTGTTTAGCTGCTACAACTTAGGGATTTTTAATGTATTGTGACCAGTGGTTAATGGGTGCCGGAACAGGATCCGGCACCCATTGATTTTGGCCTCTACATATTCCGGGATTTATTTGGGCAGATCCGTCTCCTCTAATATAAATATTAAAAATAATTATTTTAAAAAGTCTGAAAATACATAAGAAAAAATAATTATATTAATTTAAAGAATAAATCCAACAAATGTCATGTTCTCTACTCAAATTTAACGTAATTTGGGAGAGTCGGGATCAAACCACGCCCCTCACAGAAAGTAAGGTTTGCCGCGTCTGGGATGTTTACGGCGAGGACCGAATTGACCAACTGACCAAGAGAGAGGAATATACGGAGTTTCAGCGCAAACATGTCAAAAAGACAATTGAATCTTATGTCTTTTTACAAGAAGACGGACAAGTCACATGATGCTACTAAACGAGTGAGGAAAGCAGCAAGTGGCGATGTTAGTGACCAGGAGGAAGAGGATAGCCCCGCAACAGGTGACCTGGTTCATAGCCCGCCTGAGTGGGGGGCAGATACAGCGCACCCGATCAGCCATCATGTGGACCCCCACCAACAACCGGAGCAAGAGGCCAGTATGGAGATATCAGCTAGCCAAGTACAGCAGCAAGAGGCAGGAACCACGACATCAACGCGCTTCTTTCATGAAGCGTCAGAAGGAGAGGAGCGCGCACTGAGCGGAGAGGAATGTGGTTCATCCAGCGACAGGTCAGGGGGATGCGCAACTGTTTGGACTGCTGCTCAGTTCAAGGTGAAGCAGAGTTACTACCCCTGGGTTCTTATGGACAGTTCTGGTTTGGGCTGCACAATTTGTAAGGCGGTGGGGACTTTGGGGCCGGAGAAAACGGGAGGAATGAAACTTGCTAAAGAGTGGGTGTCAAGTACAGTGGCCTCATCTTCTTCCGATATTAAAAAACAGCAACGCGCGCTCAGAAAAAAAGTCTTTGAACATGCCCGTACCAAAGCTCACCTAGCAGCAGCAAGTATTCTTGAGAAGGCTAAAGAAGACACTTTAGGACAGTCAATAATTAATAGTCTGTCTGAACAGATGACTAAGACAGCTCGCGTCTTTCGCACGGCATATGGCTTCGAACATGAGATTGATTGCCAAGAGTTAAATGGACTCGATATGGGGAGGATTTTACACTCCAATGTTGCATGTGCAAACATACAGAAACATATTTCCGATGAAATGAAAAAGAAACTGTTTGAAAAGATAGTACACAGTGTTGCCAACTTAGCGACTTTGTCGCTAGATTTAGCGACTTTTCAGACCCCTATAGCGACTTTTTTTCAAAAAAGCGACTAGCGACAAATCTAGCGACTTTTTCTGGTGTTATTGGCGACTTATCTGGTGTTTTGGCGACTTATCTGGTGTTTTGGAGACTCGTGAAGCACGTATTGTTCTGCAGTCTCACAGTAGCCTTGCGCAGCAGTCCCAGCTACAGTCTATGGGCGGAGCAGAGAGAGAGAGAGGAGACTCAAAAGCACAGGGAGTTTTCAGGCTGCTGCAGACTGAACTTCAGCTCCACCACCACCACACATCCAAAGCTCCCCGGCCACTCCTACCACCGCCACCCCCCACTACCCCCCACTCCATCCGCGGCAGCTCTGTCCGTGACTCTGTTTTCTCTCAGTAGTGGGTCACATTAAATCATTTGTTATGCCAAACTATGAAAAAAAAAAAAAAACTTACAAAAATAAACCTAAGTAACTCTGCCAGAGTGTGTCTTTTGGGTCACTTTGCCGGTCCCAAGCCCGGATAAAGGAGGAGGGTTGGTTGTAGAGCTAGAAATTTCACCCTACATAACAATCTTTTGATTACATTTGCTGTTATAACATTTAACAATACAGGACAAAACTGATGTGTGTAATGTGGATCTAGACAAAGCATTAAAATCATTAAATGTTGTTAATGTTGAAATTATTTTTGTACATTTGTAGTTCTAAACATATTTAGGGTGTTTTTACTCACTTTTGTCTCTCCCACGACCTTATTCCTCTCTCCTACAGCGTCCGTTACAGTTATTTGCAAATGGCAAATTATGCAAATTAGGCGATGACGTCATTTAGCGACTTCTAGCGACTTTTGGGACAGCCAATAGCTACTTTCCTTACTGAGGAGTTGGCAACACTGATAGTACAGTGCGCACCCAAACTCAGTCTAATGCTGGATGAGTCAACCAGTTAAAGCAAGAAGAGCTGTTTGATCATATACATTAGAGCTCAGTTACCTGATATGGACATTTTCCCTGAACTTGTGGAGCTCGACGATCTAACTGCTCGAGGTATTGTCAACAAACTATTAATTGCTCTGGAGCGCCTGCATTTGACCCAGGATTTTCTCTCTCGAACCCTCATTGGTGTTACTTGTGATGGCGCTTCTGTTATGTTGGGACGTAAAAGCGGAGTAGCGACCCGGCTCCAGGCCATTTTCCCCAGCATTACTCTGTGGCACTGCGCAGCGCACAGGCTTGAGCTCGCAGTCTCAGACGTATTGAAAGAGATGGCCGCTATAAATCACTTTAAAATATTGATGGACAAGTTATATTCATTGTATAGCACATCTAACAAAAACAGAATAGAGCTGAGAGAGTCTGCTGAGAGCCTAGATATCCAACTATGCAAAATAGGTCGGATTTTAGACACTAGATGGGTAGCATCAAGTTTTAGAACCGTTGATGCAGTGTGGAAGAACTATCCAGCACTTTACAAACATTTCAGAACTGCATCTGAAGATTCCTCCCGTGATAGCATCGCAAAACAAACATACAGCGGACTTGCCATGCGTTTATCTTCACATGCGTTTGTGAACAATTTAGGCATAATGTGCGACGCGTTGCAAGAATTATCTGAGCTCTCAGTAGAGCTTCAAAAACGAGACATTACAATCATTTCAGCCCACAAAACAATATGTCGTGAAATAAGGGTGTTTGAGGCATTGTCAGATAGGCCAGGGCGCTACACTGTACTGAGCCAAAGAGGAATTGAGGAAAACTCTTTCCAAGGAATTACACTAAATGAAACAGTAAAAACACTGGACGCCAAGCCATTTTTCCAAGCTGTGGCCAAGAACCTGGAGAATCGAATGTTATCCCAAGGAGGCCGGGTACCAGACAAAACGGGATATAACAAGTTCATTGAGGAGTTGAAAATGCTTTATGCGCAGTATTGGCCCGAGGACATAGGTGCGCTTTATGGAGATACTGAGGTTGAGTCACTGTGCCAGCGCTTTAATATATCTGACCCACGCGCAGTCATACGGGCCTACAGAAAGTACAGAGACTCAGATGGACACGACACGCCTGATGAACTGATTGAGTTATTTACTGCTGTCAACAGCATTCCCATTGCAAGTGCTGAATGTGAGCGGGGATTTTCTCAAATGAACTTGATTTGCACTCCCCACCGTGGCTCTCTGCTCATAACCACAATATCATCGTTACTCTTCCTAAATCTTGTTGGACCTCCCCTGGCTAAATTCAACCCAGTCCCGTACGTGAGGTCATGGGTGACCAAAGGACACAGAACTGCCACGGATACGTGCAGTAAAACCCGAAACAGAGAGAAGGAGAATAATCCGGACCTGCTCGTGTTGTGGAGCATTTTGGTAACTAAATAGGTAAGCATACTCAACTCTATATTAATAGGCTGCCGTGCCAACTTTTAAATAATAATTGGAAGATTTGTGTGATTTATTATAAGCTCTGATTTTGTTGAGGAATTAATTTCTGACTGTATTCTGCAAGTCCCACCTGCGGTGAAGTGGGCATTTGCCTGTGTTGTGCAGAGTAACCTATAGCCTAACTATTGTATAATATGTATTATTAAGTATGGATTTTAGCTGTAAGTCCCACAGCAAGGCAAGTGGGCATTTGAATGTTGTTTTCAACAACGTCTTTTGTACGTTCCGGCACTTGTATTGGTTTCGTTTACCTGCTCTGTCATTGTATACTTTGCGTTCCGGCACCTTATGATTTACAAATTAAGCACTGATTGTGACTATTTATAATAGTTATGCCCTGTATTGTTTCTAGTTTTGTTAAGCACTTGCAGTTGCCTTGTGTATGAACTGTGCTATACAAATAAACTAGCCTTGGGTCACCAGAGGTGACGTTGCCCACATGTGAGATACAATTTTTAAACACAGCTAAAATCAACTCAATATCTGTTGCTGAGTTGAAACACAATGAAAAATCTCCCAAAAAGAGCATTTTGTTTCAGAATGTCCTCTGATTGACCTACTTTCTTTTCATTTCAACTATTGTTATTCCTAAAGCTGCGAAAGGCCAGACACGCCGGAACATACGGAAATGAGCACACGCCGGTGGGTTTGCAGCTAGAAGGCAAAGAGAGAGAGAGAAAAAAAAAACGAAAACCCAGCGGAGAGGCAGAGAAATCAATACAGGTGTAATAAAAGTGTGTTTAAAATGCCGAGTGCAAGTTTGCGCTGGACTTTCGGGGCAGGTTGCGGTGCGGGGCCAGAGCACCGTGGGCAGGTGTAAATAAAGGTTAGAGCATGTATAGATCCGTGTCCCGGAGCGAGACTCGGAAAACCACGGACGCACTGAATATGGAAAGCACAAACTGAAGTGTATGTAAACTCCACCGAGAAAGTTTGAAAGGTGTCAGCTGTTTGGAATATATTCGTCGTAATTATAGATTGAGATGAAGAGAATCCTTATTTGGCACACGGTGGGGAAATGTCAGTGTTGCATCAGGAGTTACAGAACAGCACACTGCAAAAAGTTAAAAACAAGTTAAAAAAAATTCTCAAAATTCAGCTAAATGTGTCTTAATTTGGGGCTTGTTGTGTACATATTTTAACAACTTGTGAAATTTTATATGTAATCATAAAATGGTATAGTTTATTATTATATGACTTGGACCGTACGCGCGCTCTGATTGGCTGATTACCGGTCTGATATTTTCCCTTGGCCTTTTTGCACAGACCTCGCCACGGCTCGGTCTGTACATTAAGGCCGCGGTCTGATATTTCTCCATACAGACCTCTCACTCGGTTAATAAGCCGTTAATATCAAAAGTCTGAGGTCAGAATGAGTTTGGAACAGCAGACAAGTATTAAGCGGAAGACAATAGATAATAAGGTGAACTTCCCTTATTATCTATTGTTGTTTCCTGTTTTTCCAGGACCAAGTCCAGGACCAAGACCTTCATCGGGGTTCAGGACCAGACCAAGACCAGACCACAGACTGAGACCAGTCCAGATGACGTCGGCGGAGGCACTTCCTGCTTGTCTGCATGTTACATAAAACTGTTCTTCTCTTTGTTTGTCAGACTGATAGGGTGAGACCGCAGAGATAGGTTAGTTAGAATAGGAGCTCTGGAGTTCTGTATTTGATTGTAAAGATAATTAAAATACTGTTAAACTCTTGAAAATCTTTGTCACCTTTCTCTTCATCAAATTAGAAACACATCAGTCTTTTTTTAGACAATAGGCTTAATCTTATTCCTTCTTTTTACATAAATGTAGTTGGTTGTATTGGTGTCTACACTAACATTATAACCAACAACAGCGAGTTTATCATCCACAAGGAGCAGTATTACATTTTCAAACATATTTTCACAATGACAACTTTATAAAGGCAAGAGTTGCACGTGCAACGGCCAAAACTCTATCAGTAAGAGCTTCACTCACCCAAACCCAGCTCCACGGCTCGTCACGCTGTAATTATGTACACTATTGTTCCTGGTGTAACCTGTGTGCAGTTTAATGACCTTCTTCACTGGATCCACAGGTGAACAACAGCCGAGAAAACACTTTGCTTTTTTTTGTCTCAAGTGGTGGGTGTAGATGTGTCTCTGGCTGGGCCTTTGACGTGGTAGGTGAGGACTATGGTGGGGCTTAAGGTGTGGAGGAGACATCACGGTAGTGTTCCTTGACGCTAGGGATGTACCGAATCCAGGTTTTTGGGATTCGGCCGAATACCAAATCCACTGGTTAAGATTCTGCCGAATCCGAACCAGAATACCGAATCCTATTCCATCCTCAGTCCATTAATGTTTCATACGCAAATGTTTCATACGCAAATGTTTTAACAGCGGCAGTGTTGTGTACTGTTTAGGGTCCTTACCACCACGAGACAAATCGGCATTGCAAATTGGACATGTAGCTCGACCAGAATCTATTATTATAACATTTATAATAATCCCGCTTATCATTAAACACAAATACATTCAGTTCACAGCAGTGTAAAACTTCAGGGATAAAGTACATATATTACTGTGACTGTCATGTAAAAATAAGAGCTAAAGCACCATACATGCATAAATAGCTTCCACTGGTTCAGGTCAAAACATTATATATATGGACATTTGAGAAATGTGCCAAACTCGTAGAGACAAGTTGGAGAGAAGCTAATGCTAAGAGGCTAGTTGCCTAAACACGGACTCACCAACTCTGCTTCCACGGTCATACGCAGCTCAGATGACAAGTACCTGGCACTGGTAATCACCTCCATAAAGTTGGTGAATAGGCAGTTAGTTTATGATCCATCAGAACCGCATTACAGGTGAAAACAAGAATCATAACATCCCCTCGCACCGGCATATGACTAGAGCTAATTGGACCGCGGGGATCACATGACCAGGAAGAGACCTCAGCGCACTCGAAGAGGAACAGAGAGCAAGAGGATATAAACCTCCGCTAAACTGCATGTTTATTTACACGAACGAATCTGATTTCCGTGACGAATCCAACAGCCACAGCGCGCATAGTGTAAGTGCAGGGTTCGGGTTCGGTGGGGAAAAATTCTAAGGTTCGGCCAGAAACGGAACCCCGTCAAAAAAGCCAATATTCGGCCGAATCCGAACCCGAATCCTGGATTCGGTACATCCTACTTGATACATTTATCTGAGTGAGCTTGTATTTAGCATTTTGCCTAGCTTTAGCCATCTCCTTGAAATTAAATAATACATGAAACGGAGCCCGTGGGGAGTAGAGCCACAACATCTTTGCAGCAATGACATTTGCTGAACATTCCTCTTGCTTCGGCTTGATATTTGTTGCAGGACACAATAGAATACAGATTACTTTACTATCACATTCTCTGCCAAACTACAACCGGCAAATTTGGCGCAAACTCTTGAAGTCACCGACACCAACCTACAACAGCCGCCTCCCCCGCTCTCTGATTGGTCGGAGGGGATTCGATGTAACTACAGCCACTAGGACCAGACCCAGACAGGCATAAAGAAAATAGAGAGTTTACAAACGGCTCAGGCCAGGTTAAGTCAGAGGCAATGACAGAACGATCACAATATTGTTTTTATTGACCTCCATTGTTGATAGTGCTGGACATCACTTTTCAAGACGCATCGTGGCGACCCCTGACCCCTGTATAGAGCCGGCACGACCAATAACACAGGACACTTTGCCAACAGTGCAGCCTCTTTTATCTTCAGTGAGGCAACACTCTCCGGCCTCGGAACACACAATGTATAAAGACACATCTCTGCTCTGGGTCATCTGACCTTGAAGAAAACAATCTCTAAACTCACTACGTTCAAGGTTCAAGCTTCAACTTCATTGTTCCAGAAGAAAAATCTGTCTCTGAATCAGTGTCATTCCCATTCTTGCAGCCTCATCTCGTAGCGTCATCATATGGTCGTGAATGTTTCCATAAACACATGGACGACTACAATTATCCAACTACTAGAACTCCCAGAGCCGTCATTTTGACTGCTCTCTTCACATCAAAGGCATTCTGAAAAAATGCCTCAAAAGTGTTTAGTTATTTTGACTGATGTATTAAAAGGATTATTTTTATTTTTTACTTTTACTAAGTGCTAAAACTGGTTAATATAACTTTAAATACAGAAAAAATCCGTTTGTACAAATGCTAACTGGTAGCAAGTATACATTAATTTGCTAAGGTAACTAGTTCTGGCCGTACACTGAAAGGTAAAGGAACCACTGTCATTTCAAAAAAGTAAAAACAAAACACACACACAAAAAAATACATATAGAGACAGAAGAAAATCACAAAGTCATGGAAAGCAAAAATGTGCACATGTAAAGGCTGCCAAATTGACTGTTCTGGGAGTTCTAGTGATACAAGTCAGCGGCTACACTTTGTTCATCACTGTAGTATCTTAAACCGCTGTGCGCCATATGGTAAAAGGTGAATAGTGGGAATAAAATGTGCCTAACTGGCCGTAAAGTAACAAGAGTCCCCTAAAAGCTGGGGCCAGTTGGGAATAGTGTGGATATTCAGACACAGCATGGACTTTCACGTCAATAAGTCAGGTTTGAATGTACTGTGAGGGAGCCTGGCCTTAGCCATCTGGAAACTGCGGTCAATATAATTTCCCTACGTGTACCGTCTGGGTCTGCTCCCTGTGTTTGCAATTACATCGGTTGTATCCCCTCCAACCAATCAGCGAGCAGGGCAGGCGGGTGTTGTAGGTAGGTGTCGTGAGTCGTGACGTCAAGAGTTTGCGCCAAATTCGCCGGTTGTATTTTGACAATGGCGGAAAATGCAATGAGTAATCTGTTCTGGTTCTGCTCCAAATATCAGGGAATTGAAGCCGAAGCAAGAGGAATGTTTAGCAAATGTCACTGCTGCAAAGATGTTGTGGCTCCACTCCCCACGGGCTTCGTTAGTGGCAAAGGAGATGACTAAAGCTAGGCTAAATGCTAGACGCTAACGACTTACTCGGGCGCATTTCATACATCGCAGTAAACTCAGATCCAACCGTTTCAAACTGAAAAAAGGAGTTAACCCATTCCCACCTGTTAACGCAGTCAATGGAGCAAATCCAGACCTTAGTTTGAAATGAAATGTGTACGATGGAGTGGTAAGACCAGGCTAACTGTGAGTTGGTGGAAGACTAGTTTAGAGCTTCTGTTACAACCGCTATACCTGCACCCTGCCTCCCTCTCTCCCCCTCACTCTCCCTCGCCGAGGCGGCCATACCCACAGATGTATAGTGTGCTTGGATGGCGGCGCTGGTCCCATTGATCATGCTGTGGTCTGCTTTGTGACAGGGGACAGATGGAGACCCAGACTTTTGGCCCCAATTCTCAGCAGCTGGGCCTGGGCCTGGACTTGGAAGAGCTCCTGGAAGTGCCTATAGTCACTGCATACGTTTGGCCCAGACTTTAGACGGGGTAACCACTCTGCCACCACACACTCGCAACACACGGTCCAAGAGATGTTTCTGGTGGTAAGAGGGTTTGAGAACGGCCAATCTCTGCGTTGTTATTAAGATCCATAAATCCAAATATGTTTATGGATTTATTTTGATATCCTGGTGTTGTCAAACAAGAACATAGCAGGTTTGAGAGGTTGATTTCTGAAATACAGGTGTCCCTTGACTTAAATATTGTCAATTCATCCATCACGAGCTTGTGGTCTTTCTCAACACTGTTAAAAGACTTTGTTACTTAAAGAAAGTAGCAACAATAGATACTTAGCTTCTCACTATTGTAATCCTGAGCAAATAGGAAGAACTGCTAAACAAGAAGTGACCTAAAATGCGACTAGTTTTCTCAAATTTTAGGCCTTGAGGAACTTGTGGCCACATCTGCAGGTGAAACAAAGATTCTGTCAGATCTTTTAAACTAAGCAGGGCATGGCCTGGTGAGTACTGTGAGGGGAGACCTCTGGAAACACCAGGTGCCACAGTGGGGCGACTGCAACTGTAGGGTGCCAATTTGTTGTTCTGTTTTTCAGCAAGACACTTAACCAAACTGCCTTGAATGTGTCTGGTGTGTGTGTGAGTAGAAAATAATTGGTGGTGATCGGAGGGGCCGACACTTCTGTCAGTGTGCCCCACGGCAGCTGTGGCTACAGTAGTAGTTTATGAATAAGGACATGTGAAGCGTCTTTGTCTAAAAAGTGCTGTATAAAACCAATGCATTATTACTATTATTCAGCATAAATAAACTCAAGGATTGCTCTTTTCAACAGTTGTTAAGCTAATATGTGACGTTAAAAGTGAAAGAATAACCTTTCATTAGCATGGCATTTAGCAAATACACCTCATGTTGATGATCTTGACAAACCAAAAACAGAAGAAAAGTATAATTGTTTTGCTTTTTACACATTATGTAAATTAATGGTTTCAGCTGTATATTGAGGGATGATTTTTTACAAAAGCCTAGAGCTAAAAACAACATACTACATTTTTACTTCTCTCCATCCACACACTCCATAAACAATACCTCCAGTGCTGCCGTCCTTGTGGCTTGAGATCCGGTCCTGAGCTCCTCCCATCAGCGTAAAACCGGCCTGATCGATAGCCATCCACGCTCCTGTTTGGATTGGGTCCTTGTCTTTTATCGCCGGCAGGTTGGTCAGAGCCACAGTCGGGGCGCGGAGGGCAGAAAACACGTCCGGAGGAGGTGATGTCATCCACGCTCACTCTCAGAAATGGGTCGTCTGTCACAGCTCCGGGTCACACGTCACAGGGCGCCGCGAGGTCCGAAGCCTGAAGCTAACGATGCATTTATAGACGTGGAGCAGAAAGGTGAGATCAGGCGGAGGGGAAGTGAATCAGAAATGACGTAGTGGGAGTTTATGGCTCATACTCAAGAGGAAATGGAGCATAAAACATTTCAGTTTTCACTCAACAAATGATATCAAGGTGAGAGACTACACTTCTGACCCTGATTAGAAGTCTCCATCCCCCACTTGTGTCGTTATTACAGCTACGGTCTTTTATGTTGACCATGTAAACCTAATATAGCCTAGACTAGACATACGAGCGTTGGGAAAATATGTTTTTGTAATCAACTATTTATTTCAATTTCAAACCTCGAATATTAAAGCAAGGCAAATTAAACACATGGCAAATTTTAACCCATGTGAAAATCAAAGGATCAAATAACAAGATTTGTGACATTTTATTATCAATTCCATTTCCAGAGTATGAGTGCAAAGGCAAAGTTAGGAGATGCCTTTGGAAGAGCCTTTCACAGGACTCTATCTGCTCTGCGGGCGCATGGGGACTGGACCTTACAGTGGTCAGACTGGTTTAACTTACTCTGTATACTTAAGAAGAATCGACTCTTTCGTATAATGCATTCTTATGTCCCTGAACATTATACACACTCAGATCTGTTTAAATATTTCATACTTCTTCATCATGCTAAAGTTGGAGATTTTTGGGTGGCGTCCATATTATAAGCCTGGCCTTAGCCATTCGTAGACTCTGCTCAATAATCACTTCCTGCATGTAACGTCTGGGTCGGGTCCCTGTGTTTGCGATCACAATGGGTGGGCGGGTGTTGTAGTTAGATGTGGGTGACGTCAAGAGTTTGTGCCGAACACGCAGGTTGTAGTTTGTCAATGGCGAAGAATGCGATAGTAAAGTAATCCGGGTCTGATTCTATCAAGAAACTGAAGCCGGAGCAAGAGGAATGTTTAGCAAATGTAATTGCTGCAAAGATAGTGGCGCTACTCCCCGAGGGCTCTGTTAGCGGCAAAGGAGATGGCTAGGCTAAATGTTTGCGACTCACCCTGGCGCATTACGTACATAAACTCAGATCCAATGGTTTCAATCTGCAAAAGGAGTTAACCCCTCCCACCTGTTAGCGGAGTCAATGGAACAAATCCAGACCTAGTACGAAATGTAATTTGTACTATGGTGTGGTGCGACCGGGCTACCACATTACACTCATTTTATTTGATTTCAGTTTAGAGTTATTCTTCATATATCTTGTCTTATTCTCTATATTCAAGGTTTATAGGAGGATTTTCACATATTTTAGGAAAGAACTGCGCTCACCACTCTCCGGTCTTATTGGACGAGCAGGCATCACCGGAATTATTGACAATTGGGAGGACCAATAGTCTTGATGATCCACCTGGAAGTAGAAAATCCTCCTATAGGTAATCTTATCCTTTTGTATACAAGTATCCATATATTTTCTAATCACTGTTGGTCTTTTACAGTGCTAGCTTAAAACATTTTTTTTTGGGACAAGGAATCTCATTTCACATTTGTGAAATCTCAGTCACAGATTTCACAAATGTGAAATCTCAGTCACATGTGTCTGTACATTTTAAAATCTCTTGCTAATTAGATAATAAATCAAATGAATTTAGCCTCTTTACCCTCACACCACATTATACACTGCATTAGATGAGGATTTGATTTCCTTTTACCACATTTCAACTAAATAAATCAAGACGGCTCTATTATTCTTCAGATGTAAATATCCAAAATCCTTAACAAAACAGATCACAGGTCGGCCACGGATAAATATTCCGTCCATTTCCCCAAAACCGAGCCTATACCCTCCTCTGATTGTGGTTCATTCCTGTGTCAACACATCAATTTGACAATAACTCCACAATGCATCAAATATTCATGTACGAACGCTGCACCTGCCTAAAGCCCAAATTTGTCCTGATAAAAGACTTTTTCTTTCGCGCACTAAAATCCTCCCAGGTAACCGCGGCTTTCAATTATTCATTCCAGCAGCAGCCTGTTCTGTACACACACACACACACACACACACATTCAATAGTACTTTTTGCCCTTTAAGCCATAAACATGCGGAGAATATATGAGGGGGATTAAAAGTGCAAACAATGCCGCAGAAAGCTTATGTCTTTCTCTTGCACCAGTGTTATTTCAAAACCAAATATTGATTTAATGTATAGAGGGAGAAAACAATATGTAGGTGCAGCATAACAATCGTTTGTGTCCGTCAGCAGACCTGCATTTGTGTTTAGCTCAAAGACTGTTTATAAATGTACATTGCTAACTCCCTAGTTCATTGAAGCCAAATAAAGAAGTGCTCACGGACGAAGATTTGCCGCAACTCGCTCTGGCTTATCTTAACTCCACGAGCTTGGTAACCGTTTGTGTCACACTTACTATTTTGGGCTTAAAAAAAACACAGGTTTTTTCGTACTCTCTATGCTCTGGGACGCGCTGAGAAACAGTTGCAAGTCCTAAGTAGCTCTAAAACAATTTTTATTTTTCTTGCCTTTTTCTGAGATGTTTCTGCAGTACAGTGTTAATGGTTTTGCACTGGTCCAGACCAGAGCAGAGAGGATTCATGGTCCGAACCAAGTCGATCGGCCAAAAAAAACAATGGAGGAATGCTAACTTTTGAAAAATGCTAATGAAGCATTTAGCATTTTACTTTGGACCAGAGCAGAGAAAATGGTCTGAACCAAGCGGCTACTCCTCTGCTGCTGTGACCTGAGGCTGTTGCTGTATTTTACTATATTGTTATCTATTTAGAATGATCAATTTTATTTAATTTTTTTGCTGCTACCGGACACCTGAATTTCTCTGATGGGGATCAATAAAGTATCCAATTATCCAAGTCTGTGACCTCCTGTTACTTACGTGGCAATAAAAATGGAGCTTAAGCGGAGGTTCAGTATGGTAGACTACCTACGTTATCACACCAGGCTTGACCACGCCTTACTCAGCCTGTCTTAATCAACTCCCCGCAGCCGTGTCAATCAAGCCAGCGTTTAAGAGCAAAGCAGAGCACAGCTCACCAAACGGACTTCAAGCTGCAATGGGTTGCTTTTCGTCACTTTGTTTACTCACGCCTTGCACATTGTTCGTCCTGCATGGTCGCGGCTCCTCTTCCACATCACATGTTGGGGGCTGCGCGCCATGGTCGCTGTGTCTCCACCGCGGCTCACCGCGGGTCCTCTCCTGCGGACTCGCTGCCGCTCGTCTCCCCGTGGCCGCTGCTGCTCACGGCCAGGCGTTACTCCGTGCACCCTGCCGCTTCCATACCGGGAACGGGACTTCAGTCTGCCTGCCGTTGTCTGCCTGCCGCTGTCCACCCTTCTCCCTGCCTCCACTCACGGTACAGTGTCGGTTTTGTTGTTTTCCGCACTGCCATGAACTGTACTGAACTGCGGCGTGTCAGTTAATCCCGCCGAATTGGCTCGCAGGCTGTGTTTTTACCCGCTGCATTGCTCTTCAGGCTGTTCGTTTTACCATCTGCATTGGCATTTAGACCGTTCCTTTTCACCATGGACCGCACATTTTAACCACTGTGTTGGCCTTCTGGCTTCCGTTTTACTCATGGGCTGAACATTCTACACACTACAGTGACCTCCAGGCTGTCCGTTTTACTCATGGGCTGAACATTCTACCCACTGCAGTGACCTCCAGGCTGTCCGTTTTACTATGGTCTGAACATTTTACCCACTGCATTGACCTTCAGGCTGTCAGTCGTAACCATGGACTATAACATTTGTCGTCTGCATTGGCCTTTGCGCTGTCTATTTGACCGTGGACTGTAAGTTTTGCCCACTGCATTGCCTCCCGGCTGTCCGTGTCTGATAAGCTGCTCTGATTGGTCGGAGCGCGGCCGAGCCCCTCTGTACTGGAGAGACTTGTGTACAAGTCTCTCCATGGCCTCGCACCAAAATATATTAGTGACATGTTAGTCCCATATGAACCAGCCCGGACTCTGAGGAGCACAGGGACTGGACCCCTGTTAGTGCCCAGAGTCAGAACTAAACATGCGGAGGCTGCTTTTCAGATTCATGCTGCTAAAATCTGGAACAATCTTCCTGAAGATGTGAGACAGGCCTCCTCTCTGACAATGTTTAAAGCCAAGTTAAAAACGGTGCTGTTTAGCTGTGCATACAACTGAGGGATTTTATATTTTTATCTTTCGTTTTAATGTTCTGTGATTATTTATGATTTTAATGCTATCTTGTTCAGCACTTTGAGTTGCCTTGTGTATGAATTGTGCTATACAAATAAACTTGCCTTGCCTTGCCTTGCCTTACTGTTTGTTTTAACCAGTGCGTTGGCCTTCAGGCATGCTTCAACGGCCTCACTTCAACGCTTCATCGCAGCACACGTCTGTGGCCGCACACTTCAACGCCACACTTCAACGCCACACTTCAACGCCCACACGCTTCGCCGACGCCACTTCGGTAGCCGCACGCTTCAACGACGCCACGTCGGTGGCTGCACGCTTCTACGACGCCACGCTTCGACTCCTCTTCCACGCTTCGACTCCTCCTCCACGCTTCGACTCCTCCTCCACGCTTCGACTCCTCCTCCACGCTTCGACTCCTCTTCCACGCTTCGACTCCTCCTCCGCTTCGACAACGGCGCACGCATCAACGACGGCGCACGCCTCAACGACGGCGCACGCCTCGACGCCGCTCGCTTGGACGCCGCTCGCCTTGACGCCGCACGCCTTGACGCCGCACGCCTTGACACCGCACGCCTTGACGCCGCCGCACGCCTTGACGCCGCACGCCTTGACGGCGCACGCCTTGACGCCACCGCACGCCTTGACGCCGGCGCACGCCTTGACGCCGCCGCACGCCTCGACAACGCCGCACGCCTCAACAACGCCGCAAGCCTCAACGACGGCGCGCGCTTTGACGCCGCGCGCTTCAACGACGGC